TACGTTATTCATGTAGCTGAAGTTGCGTAACCTGGTGTAGGCCAGTGTAGACCAGGCCTAAGTTTCCCAAATATTTTTCCCAAAAAGGGACAACTGGCAGTCCCAGCCACAGGGCCCTGTGGGGCAGACAGCACCAGCCCACTACTGCCCTGATGAACAATGGCATCAACAAGAACCCTTCAACCCTATAGAGCAGGCAAACTCCTGGCTGGATCAGAGATTCCTCCCACATAAGCCTCCATCCCTGGCCATAGGTCCCACAGCTGGGTTGAGACCCTCCATGACACTGACCCACATTCAGAAAATGAACAGGGAAATGGGAGCCATTCTAAGGGAAAAGAAAGGTGTGGCACTGGAACAACTGGAGATGAGAAAATGAAAATGCTTCACAGTCACACACGGGGTTCTGCAGTGGCCAGTGCCCTACAAACACTGAACCTTCTCCCCAGTCAGAAACAACCCCACACTTGTTACATTTTACAACCCCTTTACTCCCTCTCAAAACCCCTTCACCCTTACTCACAGGGTTCCAGCTAACACTGTCCTTTCACCTACCCATCATTAAACACACAGACTGCTTCCGTCTCCCACCTCACTGCTGCAATCCCCATGGCAAGAAGATGCTTGTGCTCTGCCATTGACACACCCTACAGAACACAGCGCTGAAATGATGCATACTGGATCCCCTAGGGTACACTGGCACCTCTTCCCTTTGATCACATGGGTGGCTCAGAACCAGATCTCATATCACAGTCACAGCTGTTCCAAGCTGCTCCAACTCATCGCCTCCACCATAGGCACCGACTTATGCTGGCGCTGGTGGGTGCTCGATCCCCCTCTGCCCCCGGACTCGCCCTGACTCCACCCCGGACCCTCCCCCCTCCTGCCTCTACCCCACCCCCATTCCAACCCCTTCCCTGCCTCCTCAGAGTCTCCGCCCCAACTCTGCCTCCTCCCTGCCCTATTCCAACCCCTTCCCCAAATCCCTGCACTGGCCCTGCCTCCTCCCCTGAGCGTGCCGTGTTCCTGCTCTTCCCCAATCCCTCCTGGAGCTTGTTATGCCACGAAACAGGTGTTTTGTGGTGGCAAGCGCTGGGAGGTAGGCAGAGAAGTGGGGACGCGGCGCGCTCAGGGCAGGGGAAGGAGGCAGAGGTGAGGTAAGGTGGTGCAGGGAGCTTGGCTGTCGGTGGGTGCAGAGCACCCACCAATTTTTCCCTGTGGGTGCTCCAGCCCCAGAGCACCCATGGAGTCGGCGCCTATGGCCTCCACCATTCAATACAGCTACACCTAACACAGTGACTGCAGCTGGAGCACAGGCAAATAATTCCCAGTGGCAGTGGCTAGTCCAGCTCCAGTGGGCAGAGTTAAGGCTGCCTTGGCATTCACCTTAACTCTGTATTGCCTGGTTTTCAGGGGTTTGAGTTTTGCCCAACTCAATGTCTTGGAAGGGCACGAGATGCCTCAGGCAACCTGAACTCTGTGTGAATGAAGTCTCTGTCAGTGAATTTTAACTTAACTCCACAGTCTCTGACATGTGGAGCTGTCTATCCACAGGCAGTAAGGAGAGTCTGGCCTTCATTGCAGTGAATGAACAACGGTCTCCTGACTCGGGCGGGACTCAGAGCACAAGTGACAATAAATAAGTCACCAGTGTGAGAAATGTTTAACTCTAGCAGTGACTGCAGGGCTATGTGCACACAGAGGGCTCAGGTCTCCATAGCGCTGTGTGTAGGCAGCTGCACTGGTGTAAAGGTGGTGTAAAGTGATCCTTATACATCACTACTAGTGAATTACACCAACTCACCACCTCTGAAGTGATTGTTGTCTGTGTGAAATGGGTGTAACTGCAGCTGGACCGGTTGAGTTCGTGAGACAAGAGTCACGCTCCAAAAGAGAATGAGGCTCAACAAAGAAGGGAGTGGTTAGCAAAATCTATACTGTGCTCAGTCTCCAGTGCAAGTCTGGGTAAATTGTATGCAAGTGGCTGGAGTACCTGCAAAGCTGGTGTACAGGGTCCTACTCGATAACTATATTTAACTAGGCCATGCTCTATGCTGACCTTGCCGCTGTTCTCCCCTGGGGAGAAAAGTCTGTTTTTATCTTCCCTCCTGGTACTGCTTGTGTAGATAGGATTGCTGCCTGGCGTGTAGACTATGGGTAGGGCCCCACCAAAATCATGATCCATTTTGATCAATTTCACTGTCATAGGATTTTAAAAATAATAAATTTCATGATTTCAGCTATTTAAATCTGAAATTTCACAGTCTTGTAATTGTAGGGGTCCTGACCCAGAAAGGAATTGTTGGGGGGTTGCAAGGTTATTGTGGGGGTGGGGGTTGCGGTACTGCTACCCTTATTTCTGCGCTGCTGGTGGTGGCAGCGCTGCTTTCAGAGCTGGGCAGCTGGAGAGCAGTGGCTGATGGCCAGGATCCCAACTCTGAAGGCAGAGCCACCACCAGCAGCAGCGCAGAAGTAAGGATAGCATGATATGGTATTGCCACCCTTACTGCTGTGCTGCTGCCTGCAAAGCTAGGTCCTCAGTCAGCAACTGCCATTCTCCAGCCGCACAGCTCTGAAGGCAGCAGTGCAGAACTGAGGGTAACATGGTATGGTATTGCCACCCTTACTTCTGCACTGCCGGGTGTCACTGCAGATACTTGCTGACTTGCATTGGTCCCTGATGAGTGTAAAAGTCTCTAAGCCGGGGTCTATCTCAGTGGGACCCACTGGGCAGAGCATATGGGGTGAAACAGGAGTGCTGGAGCCCAGAGGCTCTGTCTTGGAGGCGTTGAGGCTACATGACCTACCCTTAAGGAAGAGTGGGACCCTTGCGGGGTCTGGCAAACTGAAGGGGTTCTTCCCCGGGATCGTTTAAAAGCTGGTGCATAGCACAGATCCTGTAGATCTGTGACACCTGCCAAGGCCCATATGTGGTGCCAATGTGTGATAAAGACCCAAAATGAAGGACACACACTGATCATTCACACATGAAACTTAAAGTGCCGAGGAATCTTTTCCTTTAGCGTTATTGTCTCAGTAACGTCAGGGCAACGATTCTTTATTTCTGAGGTAAATAATTTTCAATACTTAACGTGAGGGGAGACTCAATTTATGTTGCTCATCGGTTGCTTTGGCACCACGATGAGTTACATCCCTGAAAGGAGGTGCACTGGAGTGGGATGGCTGGAGTGAGGGTTTCTCAGACAGGTTGGTTTCCACTTTGCATTTATTCAGCATCTGCCTTGGGAACTGCTTGTGCCTAGTTCCCAGACAGCCAGTCAAGTTCCTTTGTACCCTCTGGATACTCCCCAAATCTCCCGAGCAGCAGCGACAGGCCCAGAAGTTTAGGGTTTACAATCCCAGAGTTGCTGCAGCAGAGACAAGAACAGGCCCAGCAGGAAATGGGGGTGTTGCTACAAGGTTACTGCTTTTGGCTCCTCCCATTATGCAAAGGAGCTCCTCTCTGCACTTGTGTATTTCAGGTACAAAAAGTTTGGAAAATAAGGACAGTGCAGCTCAGTCAGTTACAAAAGAATCAGCCAAGACATTGCGATTAAGGGCTCACCTTACATGGGAATTTCAGAATCAAGCCCAGAGAGGGAACCTTGGCCCCAGTGGATCCTTGCAGCAGTGCTGAACCTGGCAGAGGACTGAGGTGAGCCAGTGCACCTCCATGTGCTGGGGGTTACTCCACTTTAGGGCCTGTGGAAGAGGCTACCACTGTGACAGGCATATTTCTGAGGGAAAGGATGGGGGCTTCTGGTGAATGTGGCCCCTTTGTGCTGACACAGACGGGGCCGAGAGGGCACAGAGCAGGGGTGAACACTCCCCACAGTTTCTGGAGATCCTGTCAATGAGGATAGTAAGTGAGTGGCCGGGTGGAGTGGGAGACAAACCTCTGACCCCAGCACACAGGTGTGAACTCACTAATGGTGGTGATCAGGGACTAGCAGAGAGGTGCAAACTGAGCTAATCAGAACAAAGAGGTGTTATTCTTGTTCAGCCAGCTGTAGCGATCCATGTTCCTACGCTAAGGATACGTCTACACTACCCCCCGATCGCTCTGACATCGACTCCTGTACTCCACCGTGGTGTGAGGACGCAAGGTAAGTCGACCTAAGATACATCGACTTCAGCTACGCTGTTCTCGTAGCTGAAGTTGTGTATCTTAGGTCGATCCCCGCCCACAGTGTAGACCAGGCCTAAGTCTTACCTGCGTCAGGGGCTGTTTCTCTCATTGCATTAGTCACTCTGTGCAAACGCAGGCGTATTTCTTGCACTAGTTTTGATGAAGCCAGATTATGCATACACGTTTATTTCCTACATGCAGAGTGCCGAGGGATCCAGGTGTAACTCGACGACACTGCGCTGGTGGGTAAATCTAGCCCACCCTGCATGGGAAGGGGGCCAGGAAGGCTGTGGAGCAAAGAGCTATGCACCATGTGGGAGTTTCCTGCCTGACCCTGAGGGGGATTCGGGGAAGGAGGGAGCCATGTGGAGCTGTGTAGCCAGTTTTTGCCCCCTGCACCTACCCCCAGCTGTTTTGGCCCCTCCCCCTTGCCAAGGTTAGGCTCAGGGCTCCTCCCCTGCTGCCTCAGTGAACTCTGGGGAAAGCTCCACAGTACTTGCCTTCCCCCCGCACTCCCCCCTGCTCCAGCTCCAGCAGCCACAGGCAGGTCACAGCTGCTGATGCTGCCCCGGGGAGACACTGGGCTGCTGCACACAGGCATGTACCAGCACAGACCTGGTAATGAGGCCACCCAATCCCACCCTGAACCCCCAATAGCTGCACCACCTGCCCCCTATTGGCCGCCTAGAGGATGTTGCAGCCTGCTCATCCCCAGTCTGTTCAGGGGAGCTCAGGGAGAGACTGGTCAGCTAAATGCTGACGCCAGTGCAGGGCACAGTCCAGTTCTGAGTCACCAGGAATGTCACACATGGGTTCAATCCCTTCTCCCTCATGGGGAGTTTCCTACGGGGCAGGTTGGCCGATTTCTTACCTGAGCAGATCACTCCAGTGTCATAGAAATGAGAGCACTGTAATGCACCCCATCCTCTATGACTGCAGTCCCAGAGAGCTGACTCGTCACCACCACAATCAACTAAAAACAGCCAAGTCCGTCCAGATCCTTCTCCAAAATGAGCATTACCAAGGGCACTGACAGCAGATCCACATCCCAGCTGCTTACAAACCACCTTAGCATCTTCCATGTCCCAGTTGGGATCACACACCGTCCCCCACTGATCCTGGTGTTTAACCTCCACTCTCCCAGCACAGGGGCTGCCTCCATCCGCCAGCCTCAGCTCTTCAGCACCTGCAAAGAGAGACACAGAGCAGGTCAGAGCGAGCAGGGAGCCCCCTCCCCAGCGTTATCACAGCAGAGTCCGCGCCCAGCAGCAGGGGATCCGCGCCCAGAGCCATGAGAATGGGACATGCCCAGAGCTGCCTCATGGCGCCACCTTCTCACGTCTCAAGGCCTCACACTCAGGGCTGTCAGTGCTGCAGCTCTCGCCATTTTATCTCCACTCTGGCGATTTGGGGTGTTTTTACCTGTCTCATGAGAACACGATGAAAGGCACCAACTCACGGAGTTTTCCTTATTCCAAATGGTGCCATCTCCTGTCACTGTCACTGGGGCTGAAGCCAGCGAGATGCCGCCATCTCCCTACAGTCTGTCGGCATGTGGGAGTGAGGCTGCCCTGAGTAAAGTTGGCTGCCACTTCCCATTGTTTTCAATGAGACTGAAGCCCACAGCAACATGGCTGCTCCTATATGGCTTAGGGGGCTGGACAGGTCCCAGGGACTGTGAGGGGCTGCAGAGACCCTGTGCAAGGAGGAGGGGGGAGTGAGAGGAGCAGGGTCCTGGGGAGCAGAAGGAAGATTCGGGGTTGCAAGGAAACGGGGTGCAGGTGGTATGTGGGCAGGAGTGAGGAGTGGGAAGAATAGGGTGGGTGTCTGGAGCAGGGGAATGAGGAAGGGATGGGGAGGGGAGGGCAGGGGGCTCTGGAAAGGTGGGTCAGCAGGAAGGGAGAGGAGGGGTCTACTGTGGGGGTCAGGAGGCAGGGGGGCAAGGGAGGGGAGGAGGGTGTAGATTGGGGGGAGGAGGGAGAGCTGGGGAGAGAGCAGAGGGGTCTGGAGAAGGAGGCAGGAAGGAGGGAGGCGAGGAGTGTGGAGGGGCAGGGAGGTGGGCATCTGGAGCAGAGGTTCATGAGGGAGTAGTGGGGAGGGGAATGGGGTATGCAATATGGGGGGAGGGAGTGTGGAGAGGGGAGAGGAGGGGCCTCTAGATTGTGGGGTGTGCTTCACAGTCTCAGGTAGAGAAGTTGCAGGGTGGGGTGGGATGAGCCAGGGAAGTGTTGCTGTTTGCAAAAGGCTAAATCACTCTGGTCGAGTTACGGTGACATTATAGCTGATGTGAATGGTTGATGTCAGTGTGAAGGTCTCCAATATCTGTAACTCACCCCTGAACAGTAACAGAAGTTCTGTGTGCGAGTGTGAACCATGCTGCATGAATTAGCTCAGTGGGTCTCAAAGTATATCCCACCCAGTCCTTTTTCTGTCAGAGGAACTGAACCAGAAGGGAAGAGTGAAGACAGTACTGGGCAATGGACGGCAGTTCCCCGTCTCAGGGGTGAGGGGAGGGTAAGTGCAGTTTGGGTACATTAAAAGGTGACTTTTCAGCCTGCACTTTTCAACTCCACTCTAGCAGAGGAGTAGATGGGAGTTAAAAAGTTAAAGACAGACTGAATAACGCGACTGGATGGTTTTAATAATATCATGATTTTTGATCTATCCCTGATATTTTTTCATTTCTTTGCCTGGACCCCACATAACTTTATAAATTTGTTTGTCAATACCTGTGAAATACGATCTTGTGCCAAAGACTGACCTGGCCTCTACTCAGGGCTCATGGAGGGGAATAGGGGCATTGAGAGAAAGGGAAAAGTAGCTACATTATGATCTCCCCTACATGGTATACTCCCCTGAGCCACTCTGTCTGCATCATGAGAAGTAAAGTCAAATTTCCCATAGAAAATAAAAATATTCAGGGCATGATGCACATTTGCTCATAAATCCAGAAAAATAACATTCAACTGAACATGTGTTTGGCATCACTATATGACACTATCCCACAAATAATTGAGCAGTAATTTATCCCTCACATGGTAACAATTGTCCATCCCCTGTGTTGGTGTCACTAGGCATAACCGTAGGTAACTCGGGAGGGTGGAAGGCCACTAAGTGTCAATGAAGCCTTCCTGCACTAGGCCTATATGAACCAAACTTCTTCCATGTTTAAACTCTAATCAACCTCAAAAGCCAGGTGCAATTGGAATATGTAAGCAACCAGTTATCTGTGTGCAACCCCCTGCTCACACCGGTATCAAGCGGTAATAATGAGGCCTGCATGTTTCTGGCTGAAGGGAAAAAGGACAAGATAATGGTTTAAAGAAGTTACTAACAAGCTAGGCTTATAGCTGCGAAAAATGACTTAACTGCTTAAATGTAATAGTTATTTGTTTAGTAACTGTTACCAGGGAAGGGAGGGGTAGAGGGGGAGGAAGGGAGAGGAAGGGGGGAGGGTGAGGCTTAACTGCAAAATGTATAAAAGAAGAAAAACTGTTTCTGTTGGTGTGCTTGATTTGAGACGTGCCTGTCTCCTAGCACCGCTTTGGGATCCCAAATAAACTTTGTTTGCTTCTCCACCCCTGGTGTGTTTATTGGCGCGAAGCACACCGGGCAACGAACCCCGCTGTTGCTGTCCTCGGGCCTCTGTGCCGGCAACAGTCTTGGCATCCCTGGATGGGCTCGAGGCTGAAATTTAGCCTTGCCCGGACCCCTCTCGGAGGTCGACAGATTGCGGCGACAACCGACGCCCAGCGCGAACCGGTGACTTTACCGGTGGCCTCGCCGGAGACGTGGTTTGGTTGACCCCGGAGGGCACAACGGTGCAACGTGCTCGAGCAGTGGAGAAGCAGCTGCGGGCGACGGTGGGGAACCGGTCCTGTGGATAAGGTAGGAACAGTCCAGTGGGGACTTTACCTGTTTTGACCTGGGGACGCCCAGTGTCTACCTGTTTTGACCTGGGGACGCCCAGTGTCTCCCTAGAATATGGGGCAGGGACAGAGTACTGCAGGCAGGGCAAGGTGTACACCCTTAGGCCAGGTCTACACTACCGCGCTAGTTCGGCGGCTGAGGATCGAAGTTCCGGGTTCGATTTATCGCGTCTGGTCTGGACGTGATAAATCGAACCAGGAAGTGATCGCCGTCGACTGTGGTACTCCAGCTCAACGAGAGGAGTACCGCGGAGTCGACGGGGGAGCCTGCCTGCCTCGTGTGGACCGCGTCTGAACCGCGGTAAGTTCGAACTAAGGTATGTCGACTTCAGCTACGTTATTCACGTAGCTGAAGTTGCGTACCTTAGTTCGAATTGGGGGGTAAGTGTAGACCAGGCCTTAGAATGCATTCTAGCAAATTGGAAAGTGTTTGGCGCAAATCCAATAACTAAAAGTAGATTAAAAAGTTTCTGTACAGTATACTGGCCTCAATATCAGCTAGAGGACCAGGAAAGGTGGCCACCGGAAGGATCACTTAATTATAACATGATCCTTCAATTGCATCTGTTTTGTCAGCGAACGGGTAAATGGAATGAACATATGTATGTACAGTTTATTATGTTGCTAAGAGATAGGTCAGATATTTTGCAAAAGTGTAATTTGACTCCGACAGGTTCGGTAGTAGCTACTGTTAGTCCCCAGAACCCCCCCCAGCTGTAATGGCAGGTCCGGTGTCCCCTTTGGCTATCACACCCCCACCATATAAAGACAAGGTGTCTCAGGTCCCAGAAATCGCCCCCTCGGTGGAATTTTATCCGTTGATCACTCAGACCGTGGTGTCCAGACATGGCTCAGATAAGAATCAGGCCACTACTATGCAGGTTTACACCCATGTGCCTTTTAACCCGGTGGACCTAGCAGCCTTTAAGGCACAGGCAGGGGAATTCTCTACGAACCCAAGCAAGTTTATCTCGGTCTTTGAAGGGTGCCTGGCTAGCTGTAAGCCTGACTGGGATGATTGTAATGTCCTTATGCGGACCCTGCTGTCTGAGGTGGAGCGTAATCAGGTTGTGTCTAACGAAAAGGAAAAGAGGCAAGCGAAAATGATGGTTGCAGCAGTACAGGCCGGTGGCAGGGGAAAATTCCAGGAAGGTGGAAGGGGCTGGGGAATGAGAGGACGTGGGCGTGGGCGCCCTGACTCACAGGAAAGGCGTCTGGGGTCGCAACCAGTGTGCCATATGCCGGAAGAAGGGACATTGGAAAAATGAGTGCCCCAAAAGGGAAGGTACCCCTATGATGGCAGCGGAGGATCAAGAATAGGGGTGTCAGGGGAGACGGACTATCCTGCCCCCGGAACCTCCGAGTAAAAATGTGGGTGGGAGATTCGGACATAGACTTTTTAATAGACTCTGGAGCTGCACGAACCGCCGTAAACCAACCCCTGCAGCTGCCTGTGTCAGAGTCCCTCACTGTGGTGGGTGCCACAGGGAAAGGAACCAAGTGCCCAGTGTATGCCCCAGTGGAATGTGCTTTGGGAAACAGAACTCTATCTCACAAACTGGTTTACCTCCCCGATTGTCCAACGCTTCTACCAGGATGGGACCTGCTTTGTCGCTTAGGAGCCATCCTGCATTTCACCCAAGATGAAATAACCCTCACCTTACCCCCAGAGAATGCCTGGATAATGACCCTTGCAATTGAGCCCTCAGCCATGCAAGCCCCAGAGTGGAGCCAGTGGGAGGACAAAAGGAGGGTTAAAAAGCAGCTTTGCTGGACAGTGTTGGCCCAGGGATTTAAAAATTCCCCCACCCTTTTCGGCCAGGCCCTGGCCAGAGACTTGAAGGAGTGGGACAATGAGGACAGGGTCCTCCTCCTGCAATATGTGGATGACTTGTTAATTGCCGCTGTGGGTCTCACCCCTTGCCTTAAAGCCACTGTGAGCCTCCTGAACTTTGTTGGACTCCTCAAAAGTGGGTGTGCTCGTCCTGGTTTGTTGCTCCAAAGCTCTGTATAGAAGTTATTTTACTGGAAGGGTGTATGATGGCAATGCGTATGTGTTCATTGTTGGGAAAAGGTGTATGAGTGAAGAGTGGAAGTTTCCTTTGTAAGTTAAAAGAAGCCAAGAAGGAGAGAAGGAAAAAGAACAGAACGAGTTAACTGAGGGAAAAAATATATCTAGCAAGCTCAGTCCAAAGATAGGATGCTGGCCCCTTCCAAGGACATTGTTCACAGCTAAGACTTGGCTG